ATGCATAAACCACTGCTCTCTTTCTTTTACACACACATCAGTATTTTTTTCAGAGTGGTGGACTGAGTTGATCCAAACAGAGGGTTGTCTGTAACTTTGAGCCTGTTCTCCTTGGAGGGAGGAATGTTCCTCTGGTTAAACAATCGGTTTTTGCTTAGGTTGTCATGAATGAACAGAAGTAGTTTTGATTTGTTAGTGCTCATACTTAAAGGGATAGTTCACCCAAAAATGAAACTTCTGTCATTAATTACTCACCCTCATGTCGTTCCAAACCCGTTCATCTTCGGAACACAAATGAAGATGTTTTTGATGAAATCTGAGAACAGCTGCGCAACTGAAACTTTGACGCTTCAAAAAGTTCATAAAAGTAATCCATATGAATTAAGCGATTTATTCCATATTTTCTGAAGAGACACGGTCGCTTTATATGATGAACAAATTTAATTTAAGCTATATATATATTATAAATTAAAATATTAATTATATATTAAAAAACTAGAATATTAATTATCATTAGGTATTATCTTTTTTTTTTTTTTTTTACATGACCAAGTAAGTGCTGGTGAAATATAAAATTGAGCCTGATTTATGCAACACTATCCACACATAATGTTTCCCTCCTGAGGCCCCAAAATTGATTCCAGAATTATAACTTGACACTCATAATTGACTTCAGGCAGCTGGAGTTCTAGAAATTTCACATTGTACATTGGCAGACAGCACAGGCTATTAATAAAAATTAAAGCTCAAAGAAGCTTTTACATAATCACATTCCTATTAGTCAGGCCTGTTTCATTTTTCCTGTACGTGTTAGCTAAGTTAGCCCACTCTCTATTTCCTCAGGAAAAGGTCTGGAGAATGGAATCCTTTCCGCATGGGGCCTAATGAAGTGGAGGGAAGAGAGTGACACACACGCAGGAAAATCATGTTGATGGATCTGATTTAAACAGCATGAATAATCCTGGAACCATAAATTAGTTTTTTGGATAGTCAACAAGAAAATGAAATGTACTGTATTAATCTGATTACTGTAATAATTTGCGTGATAATGTGGAAAATAAGAATGCTGTATCAAATCTGTGCTATTCTAGTTCTGCTCAAAATCGCAATCACACCACTGTAGACTGACTGCTCTCTGGTGGTGAGTAAAGAAGTTGCACTTTCAATTATTTGTGTTTGGGTGTCATGTAAAACAACTTGGCGACTGTCACGATGGTTTGGCACCTGTCTGTTGTCCTGAGATATGCATGGGAACATGTGTGATGCAAATTTGGCATGTGTGTTAAGAACATTCTGCCAAGTGGGAGAGCTGTTCTAGTGCCCTAGTTCAACCATCACAGGGCAGGGGTCAAAATTTGAACATCCCACCTGTTTGTATGGTCAATATAATGTGAACTTTGTGTGTATGTGTAACCCCTCCGGTCCTTCTCACCCCCCTACGAGCTTACAAGGAAGCTAAAGACCGTAGAGCGCCTCTTTAGATCAGGGAAGCGAGATTTAGCTCTCACTAGCTGGCCTCTGTTACATATGTACCAAACTTCAAGTTATATCATAATCCAAGTTGGTGAAAAATACCTGGAGAATTGCCCTCAGTTTAGTCTTTTGGGAAGTGGCTTGCATGGGTCAGAAATTATAAAGGGTAGCTATAAATTAAGCCACCAAAAGCGACAAAAAGTTGTTTTTATATTATGGCTCTAGAATTAAAACAATAGAGCAAATATTGTGCCTTTTTGTTACATTTTCTGACACTGGGACTGCCGGCTGGTCCTCGCCTTCCACATTTATGAAGTTCTATAATATGGAGGTACCTTCCCTGCAGGCGAAGGTGCTTTCGGTATGATTGAGACCTGACAGTGGCTGGTCTTATCTACAAAAATTACTGTGCATAATCACATACATATTATATAAACCCGCTTCGGCCGGTAGTAAGGTTATACTAATAATACCGACGGTGTCTGGTTTTGTTAGTATATTCTGTTAGTTGTTACTGACTTATATATATATTATTCAGACCCGACTGTGTCTGGTCTGTTATATATACATGTATATGCATATGTTATTGGGTTCTGGCTTGTTCTGTTAGCTCAAGGGTCCTGAGTGGCAGGGCAACCAGTTACTCAGGGTGCGGCGTTTTGCATGGTGTCCCCACTGCGTATAGCTACGCAATACGAAGTGACCGTTCGAAAGGGAACTACTCGGTTACTATCGTAACCTCAGTTCCCTGAGATAGGGAACGAGTATTGCGTAGCCGGCCGCACTATGGTAACTAGTGAAGTTGTCGCTTCAGTCGTATAAACCTGCTATAATGGCGAATTCGGGGGTCTATATAGGCTGGGCCACGCCCCCTCGACGGGCTCTGACGTTGGGCTAGCTCATTGGTCGTGCGTCAGATTCGCCCGCGCCATTGGATGTGCAGTTGCTGCAGCACAGCCTATGAGCGGGTCAGACGCTCAGTATGCTAGCTGTGCAGCTGCAAATGCGTTTTACATATAGGCAGGGGCGGATCTACCGGGGTGGCATAGGGTGGCAAATGCCACCCTAAAAGAAAGCCTTGCCACCCCTGCTGCCACCCCAGTTGGCAGCAACGAATTAAAAGTTATGGCCAATTTGACAATTTACGAACGCGAATCTCCAATGTCCGACTGCAGTGAATTCGCTCCGTGCATAATATGACGACCGTTGACGTTCGTACTTTATTGTGTGGGCAAATACTTCCGGCGAAAACGTCCGCGGTGATCTGACCGCGAGAGCGGGAGACAGCGAGAGCAAGAGACAACAGCGACCGAGTTCCATTACCAGAGAGATAAGTTTTCAACCCGACCAAATTTTTAAATGCATATCATTTTCAGTGTATTTCACCTGTGCGTTTCTATGCTTTATATTACTGCATTTATTTTGTGCAAGTGAGATGAGTAAAGAACATCAGTTTCATATATCATTATCTGTCTGGTGTTTATAAACAGTAGCCTACAGTATTTTACTACGTGTAAAATATACACAAACTTAGCTATATTAAGTTGTTTGTGTACAGTTAAAAATATAAATGTAAAATATGTGATAATAATATTGATCGAGCAATTGATGTAAGTAAGTAAAAATACATGCGCAGAATTAAGAAAATATTATTTAATATTTATGGAGATAAATTTTAGCCTATCATAAAGAAAACGTGTGAATGTTCACAGGGTATTTTATTTAACAACTCTAATCGTAGTTGTAACTCTATATTTACAGTAGGCATAATTGTCATTGCGTATGTATGCAGCATGAGTCCAATACAATCTTCTGTTCGTGAACAGTTGTATTTCATTCATTAATCTGACTAACGTTATGCATCCGTGCATTTAATTGCCATTGGCTCGTGTGATAGTAATATGGATCTTAGAAGTATTTAAATGATATAATTGATTCTATAAATTGATTCTTGTTGGGTGCTCAACAAAATAATAGCCTATATATAAAAAAGGGAAAAAGGTCGGCACACCTTGGCTCCAAAAGTTAAACGCACCCCTGCCTTTATACTCACACAGCACAGGGCTGGACTGGCCATAATATTATAACTATTATTATATAGTAGTGTAATGTAGACAGACACTATCACAACTAAAAAGAGTTTTGAGTTTTTCTTTGTTCAATTTGCACACTGCATATGGGTTGGAGCTCTTTATTTTGAACTCTCAAAGTGCACCAGATTGATGAATTTAACATTAAAAAGCACAAAATTTTCTTACGGGGGAGCATGCCCCCGAACCCCCCTAGAGGGACAGAGGTGCACTCTGCACTCACCACAGATTTACCAAAATCCTATGGGAAAAAACGGTATTGCTATCCCAATGCAGCTTATTGCTTGTTTTAGGATTCATCACTGTGGAGTATAGTTCAACTTAGTAGTTATTTCATCTATTAACTCTAACTCAGTGGTTTTTATAGGAGTTGGTATACATTCGGTTGTGTTTATGATTATATGTAGTGGGCCAGTCTGGGCCAAAATGCCCGGGCCGATTTTTTGTCCCAGTCCAGCCCTGTACTCACAAATTAAATTAAGTACATATACGTCTGCCATGTTGCCACCCCTCAAAAATTCCTGCCCCCCTCTTGCCACCCCATAAATATTTTTCTAGATCCGCCCCTGCATATAGGCTTCAGTAAATCGAGGAAAAGGAGTTTCCCCACTGCGTATAGCTACGCAATACTCGTTCCCTATCTCAGGGAACTGAGGTTACGATAGTAACCGAGTAGTTGTTTGGCACCATTGACTTCCATAGTAGAACAAAAAAATACTATGGAAGTCAATGGTGCCAAAGTTCCAATCGTTCTTCAAAATATCTTCCTTTGTGTTCAGCAGAAGAAAGAAACTCATACAGGTTTGCAACAACTTGAGGGTGAGTGATGACAGAATTTTCATTTTTGGGTGGAGTATCCCTTTCAAATATCTTAATAATGAGAATGGTGATTAGAGGAGTAGCCTACTGGATGGTGTGTCAATGAAATATATTTCTGACCTAGCTATTTTTAGCTTTGTGGGACAAAAATAGCTTAAAATCTTTCTAGATAATTATCCAAATCAGATTTTTTGGTTGATAATATGGTAATCATTCAATTTAAAAGTAGACCCACTTATTAAAAGTAACCAAATACAATGATATAGCCTACCACCACAGCACCATAAGTCCCCCAAAAATGTTTGTTTAGCCTATAAAGTGAGAAAAAGTCTGACTCACTGATGAATCAAAATTCCCACCAGAAGAGAGTGGCAGTCTATATCCTGTGTGTGAATATCTCTTTAAGAATGAAGCTGAAATTGGATCCTTTTACCACCATCACATACAGCCATCATCAGTTTCAATCATCCTCAACATGTTCTCACCGACGCGCGTTTATAAAACCCACACGCATCGTAGATTGAGAATATTATAAGGACCTTCCGTTTCTGTTCGATATGAAATCATGCATTTCATATCGCCGTGGAGAGAGGAGAATCATTCATGTGTCTGACTGACGAAAAAACACGGATTTTTATCAGCCCAATGTTTTCAGACACCATGCACAACTAACCAACAGAGACTATTGATGATTGATAAGAGGTAAGCATATGGGTTAATACGTATTGCATGATATCAAACGCGCTGTGTTTTTAGCCAGCATTGCGGTGTGATATGGCCTAAAGAAAGGCATGTCGGTAACAACACGAGTCGATTTCCGTTCATAGCAATGTTTTTAGAGACCTTAATAGAGATGTGATTCATTATTTTATCAAATAGTCAGTGCTGAATTGCTGTCGATGTATATTTGACACGCGCCCATCTTCATAAAATGCACATCTAAGCAAAAATATAGATATGTGCATTTGTTACACAAGCTATGCGGTTCAATGCAGTATATCAGTCGAAGTTAAATGACCGACTTTGACAAATGAAGGCTATAAAATGACATTTAAAGGACAATACCTGAGTTTAACATTTAAAAAGGCTATATGGTCGACTCTGCACTGAAGATGCATGTCAGTTTGAAGGAAAACATTTTGTTTAGGTTTGTGACTAGAAAAACATTAACATTTACTTTATCTAATGAAAATATTAAATGCAGCACAGGTTTTGCGGAAGTGTTTGAGATTTTTCATTAAACTGTGTTTCTGACTTCTAAAAACTTTCTTCTGGGGTCTTTTATTCTGCTCTTCCTTATTTGGTGTACTTTCAGTTTTGAGAGCTGCTGTGTGCGTGTGTATAAAAAATAACCAATGAAAAGAGATTTAAAAAAATATATATATAGTTTAAAACACTTGCCAATCTCGTAGATATGTAATATTTGTAGTCATGTTTTGTTTCAAAAAAACTTTAATGCCATTTTTCAACAAAAGTTTTGATGTTAATGTCTGGTGGTACAACCATCAGGCAATGGTAAAACATTTCCTCTATCGGCTTTTCAAGACAAACATAGTTTTACAAATATCATGAGTTTTTGAATCATGACTTATCATTTTGTATGTAGTATGTACTTATATTTGCTTTTGCTCTGCAGTTTCCTCGTGGATTCATTAAAGCATCCATTTTATCCATTCTGCTGCTGTATGAGCCCTGCTTTGCTCAGCTAATCTTTCATTCATAAGGCGGCACTGCTTTCCTTAATATATGATGCATTCACTAAAGCATGCCAGCAGTGCAGCTTTATCAATGCTGTGAGCTGCCTTCTACATGATAAACCTGTACATCAGAATGGAAAGCATCTTAATCTACCCAAGACTTTTCCGCCACTGAAGGCTTATACTGTTTTTTTTTTTTTTTTTTTCATGATACATGCACAGCACACACAGCAGAAGACATGCAATCACACGTGTTCATCTGTGAGAACTGCTGAACTTCCTGTTGTGTCACAGCCATTGCCATACATTGCTTCGTGACCTCTTTGGATGCCTGCCCTTCACAACCAGCATGAACCTGTATAGGGACTGTAAATACACTCACCCCCACCCCTCCCCCTGACTGGGTGGACATGTGTGCACGGAGCCTATTGCAACATAAAGAACATCTAAATTTAGTCTCAGCTTGTTTTTTGACTCCCATCACCCCATGAGGAGATGTGCTGATGTGACGTCACAGCACATCTCATTCAGTTCTTTGGCCATGTTTAAAAATATAGATGGTAAGTGAATCATGTTCGCTTACTATCAACTCAATTGTTTATATCATCTTAAATGCTGATGCAGTTTTCAACCGGCTTTTGTATTGTTACAATTAGGGCTGGGTGAAAAAAAAAAAATTTGATTTCTTGATTTTAATCGATTCTCATTTTTATGAACCGACATCAATTTTTAAAGGTGCAGTGTGTGACTTTTAGCGACATCTAGCGGTTCGGTTGCGAGTTTACACTAAGGGCTCAGCCCGCCGCTCACCCCTCCCTTTCGAAGAAGCTACGGTGGCTAAAACGGGACAAACATCGTCGTCTGAGACAGCAGAGAATAGCCAGCGTAAACCAAGTTTCTGTACCACAGCCCATTATAAACCACATCATGGATAAAGTTTCAGGTGAGGATCAAGGGTCTTAATACATAATATAATAATAGTAATCAGCTGATTGTCTCACGAACGTAACCAGCACATTCTCCCCACATAGCAAACCCATAATACAGCGAGGGAGAAGAACCACATGAAACTATGCAACTATATATTTTTTCTAACAGGGTAGTAAAAGTTTAGCTGGCTAATATGAGCTGTTACTGTGGCTGAGCTGGTTAAAGCGTAAAGCATTGTTTAAACTCGACGCGTCCGTCTATGGTCCGCATGAGCCCAAAGGTGCGCGCGGCAAAAATGACGTGATTGAAACAGCGCGCGCGCCTCCGCATCCCCTAGACACACTTACTACACACAATAGGCTTTTTTTCTCTGATTTTGGAAACTCGATCGACTTAAAATGCTTCCAAGATCGACGAGTTGGTGATTCCTGTAACTGTTTTACGGTCAATGACAAGAGTAGCCTACTAATCAGCTGTCTCACGAACTTAACCAGCACATTTATCCCCACATAGCAAAGCCATAACACAGCGAGGGAGAAGAATTAAGTTACATGAAACAATCCAACTACATATTTACACCACTGACAAGGGAAAAGTCACTACTCACGGTGTTTATGACTAGCTTCTTCTAGCTTCCTGCGGGTTCTCTTTCAAGGTAGTGACGAAACGCGCTCTGTAACGCTGTTTGTTCGCTGTCGGCTACGGTAGAAACATGACGTCACAATATGGCGACCTTCATAGAAGGGGATTCCCGCGCCTATGTAGATATAAATGCCTCATTCTAAGGTAATAAAAACATTACGGTTTATTAAGTAAGTTCTTTATACACCACTGAACACATAGTTATGGATGTCATATTGCATTTCTGTTAATAGATACTCAAAAATGTTACACACTGCACCTTTAAATCCCAAGAATCAATCTTTTAGTACATGTATATATATTTGAGGCACCTTTATTTGGACAGTCACCACATCTTCATGCAATGAAAGCACCTTGTCAAACAACACAAAGATGCTCAGGACAGTTGAAAGTGTTTTAAGCCTTGCTAACAAAGACTTTATTTAGAAAGATGGTGGACTCGTATTACTATGAATGGGAGTGTCAGTGTTCAGAGACGCGCGGTTACGATTGCACATTAGCTTGGTCCAGCCTGAAAAAGGATTTTTGTTGTTGTTGTTGTTGTTGTTGTTGTCATATTTCATTGGTGACTTCAAATATGAAATTTAATCATAAGCTTGGCGAACAGTTTTGGAGAATTTGATGTTACCCCATTCAAAGAGAAAGGAGCTGCACTTTATTTTTTTATTTATTTTTTTTATTTACTTTTTCTCATATAAACAACACTTCAATCAGATGTACCTCAGATACTGTCTCGAGTATCCTCATATCAAAAAACATACACACACAACATACAAATATATGCCCATACATACACCATATAGTTGTGCCGTTCATCTATTCATCAGAAATATAAACTTTTTAAAAAAAAAATTAAGAAAACAACAAAAACGAGAAAATAACTATGTACATGTAGGGAGTAGTTTTTCTGGGCATTCTGGATATTAACTAGAAAATAAAATCAGGTCTTTGAGATGTTGCATATTTGGTCCATTTATCCCAGCACAAAGCAAATTGTTCCAGTTTATGATTTACAAATGCTGTTATCTTCTCCAATTTGTAAATGTCCATTGTAATTTCCATCCATGCGTTTAGGGTAGGGCTCTCGTGTGACAACCATGTTTTGGTAAAGCTCTTCTTTACAGCCACCAGCAATATATTCATTAAATATTTATCTCTTTTTAACCATTCTTGAGGTATATATACAAAATCCCAGAAAACATGGTAATGGTTTGCATTTTGGTTTCCACAGTTTCTCCTACCACGATATGATTTCTGAGAGGGTGTATTAAAATATCTTATCAAGTTTTTCCAACCAAACTCCCTCCATTTCTGTGACCTGGAGCATTTCCATTAATACCTCCATATTATTGTCCATTCTTTCTCAGATATACTTATTCCTCCTTCCTTCTCCCATTTTGTTTTAATATAGGAAGTCGAGTGTGTTTTAAGATTTAACAGACATTTATATATGCATGAAATAATAATTCTACCAAACACATCTGAGTTGTATGCTTTTCTGAACAATTCTATTATAACTTTCCCTGTCCCAGCCACATTCTTCATCTTCATATTAACAAAATGTCGCATCTGTAAATATCGGTAGAAGTCTTGTGTTTCTAATGAGTATTTCTCTTTGAGTTTTTCAAAACTAGTTATTGTGCCACCTTTTATTACATAGAACTGTTAATCCTTTATCTGTCCAGTCCTTAAATCTAGTATCTAATCTATTTGGTGTAAACTCTGAGTCGTATGCACACCATTTAAGAGGCTCAATATCCTTTTTTTAATTTATATTCTATTATAATAGTTTTCCATACATTAAGAGTGCATTTTACCCATGGATTATCAATAACATTTATGTGACCTTGTAAATCAGCAAGGATTGCCTGTATAGGGATGGAGGATAGTTTCTCCACTATATTTTTCCATTCATGGGCTTCATAGGATGGGTTGCACCTACATATCACGGCTCTCATCTGTGCTGCAAAATAATAATCTCTTAAAGAAGGTAATCACCAACCCCCTTTTTCTTTAGCTAGCTGTGGAGCTGCACTTTCATGCCCGAGAGGAGTTTCAAAGATGGCCGCCGAGTGAAATTACTTGTCTTAAAGGGACTTTGTTGCTAATTTAACTATTCAAGCGCAAAAAGACGCGAAAGAGAACTAAATTCGCTGGCTACGAGAATCAATATCAGATCGTATGGTAATGAGCCGTCTGATTTACAGACAGCCACGTTAGTTGCTAAACATTAGTTTGGGGTGGAACTACAAATCAACGGAAGATAGGTTAGGGAAACCTGCAATTCTGGTACCGCTAGTAGGACACTTTTTTTTTTTTTTTTTTAAGGTCGTTGGAATACTCTTTTCTTTTGGGAGATTTATTTAGGCACTGTTTGTTGTAACAATAATTAGCAAGCATGTCAGTTATGAGTGGCTGACGTTTAAGTAAACACCCCTGTGAACAAGATGGATCATTAATATTTGAAAGAATACATTTTAAATGTGTATCTCCGGTGGACTTAGTACTCTACAGTGTAGATGACCTCAAAGCTAGTACACATGGTCTAAAAGCCACAAAACTGCAATTTTATGGTTTTCAAATCTGTGTCAAGTCTCTTTTCACTACATTCTCAGTTCAAAGGGTTCATGTTTTGTATATTTCTATCGTCCTTTGAACACTTGTATAGCCTTAGGTAAGAGTGCAAATCATGTTTTCCATTAGCCATTATGGGCCAGAGGTCATGAAAGTAGATCAGCGGGAAATGTTATGAGCACTTAGATGGCCAGTGGAAGATGTCTTGTAAAATAATGCTTCTTATATGAGTATTTTAGAATTTCTATTTGTCAAGGACATACTTGTATGTCTTATGTATTAGTATATAACAGTTTATTTCACAGTATTTTTCAGCAAAAATATTGAATCAGTGTTAAGTAAGTATACTGTTATATGAATAAATATTTAAAATCACTAGATAGATCAAATTAGCAAATTTCATTTTTCCAGGCAGTGACGTTAAACACACTTAATTCGGTGAATTACATACTTGTTTACAAATGAAAAAAAAACAAAAAACACCTCAATGACTTTAAAGGTATAGCCTTGACCTAGATTTAGTCCAGTTGACAATTTGAATGTTAACCCTGTGGCTTTTATTTCTACTGAACCACACCATATATGGAAGAAAGTAAAAGCGCTTGTGACAGGAAGTGAGAATAGCTCAGGTGAGCATGAATACAGTGTCTGTCTTTTGCTCTGTGCCGATTTACTCCTGCTAAACCCAGCTGGAATGCTGTGATTATTTTGGCCAAAGGATTATCATTATGGATCACTGCTTCCTTATGTGCTTCAAAGGGGACAGACTTGTTTTTCTGGTGCACAATGAGCCAGGCTTAAAAGAGGAACTTTTAAACTCTTGCTTTTTTTTTAAACACTAGAATGATTTCACCTTTAGGAGAAGGTTGACATTTAGATCTGAGCTCAGTATGATGTGTATCTACAGCGCTGCCATCAAGGATTATGTGCGTATTGTCATTTATTACAAACAAAAGCCCACTGTTGATTTCCAGAACAGTTGTGTAACCAGAATGTCTGAGATTTTGGAGTCTTTTGGAATGGTCAACAAACTCTTACGTCACGCCTGGCTGCATTAATATCATCAACCAATGATTGAGTGTGAGATAGAGACATGGGCTTTATATCACCTCATTTGGTTTTCCTCACTAACACTGTAATGGAAGAGGGCATGTCTGTTAAACATTTACTTAGCTTTTCTCCTGGCTAGAGTTTTCCGTTGTGTGATCTCAACGGCACATTGATGTTCATGTCTTTTTCGAAAGCAACTTCAACTGTCTCCTGTGCTCTTTTTCTTGCAGTGGGGTCGGGTGGCCATGGACCCCTTCAGCCAGCTGATCCTGCTCATCTCGGTGGTGAGTTTTTGCACCTTCCAGTGGCTCTTTCACAGCGTGAGCCCCTGGGTGTCGTCCAGAATCAGCCCTGGCTTCCTCAAACTCACCCACAAACAGAAGATCGAGTGGAACTCAAGGTAATGAAGCATGCTTGTTCTTTTTGTATGTGTTGTCTTCTCGTGATCAGATATATCTGTAGATATTCAGTGTTTCTTATGTACAACATAGCTGTGTTTGATTCGCTAAAACGTATCAGTTCGTAAAAGTCATTTGGTTAGGAATCATCCTAGTCTGGTTGCACTGTGCAGGACTGATTCATTAAAAAGAACTGACTCAAAAGACTCATTGTATGTACAGTATGTTTTTGATTCACTAAAAAGAACCGCTTCATTAGAGTCATTTGTTTAGGAAATGGACTGTAGTAAAAAGAACTGACTCATTCATTCAGGAATCATTTAGACACATGGTTTGATTCACTTAAAAGAACTGGCTCATAATAGTCATTTGTTTAGGTATTTGTGAACTGGTTGCACTGTATGTTTTTGGTTTACTAAAATGATTTGGTTCGAATAATTCATTTGTTCAGGAATCATTCAGTGGTCACAATGTATGGTTTTTGATTCACAAAAAAAAACAAAAAAACGCTCTGAAGTAATTTGTTTAGGAATTGGATAAACCTGCTTGTGTGGTTTTGATTCACTAAAAATAACTGAATCAAAAGACATTCAGGAATAATTTCGACAAAAGTGGTAAGGTTGCACTGTATGTTTTTGATTTACTCATAAGAGTCATTTGTTTAGGAATCAGATAGGAATTCTGATTCACTAAAAAGAACTCGAAATACTCATTTGTTCAGGAATCATTTAGACAACTGGTTGCACTGTGTTTTTAAATTCGCAAAAAATATTTACATTCTGTAATAGTCATTTGTTGAGGAATCAAATTACACTGGTTGCACCGTATTGTTTTGAATCGCTAAAAAGAATCACTGCATGCGCTGTTTGTTTTTGATTCTCTATAAAAAAAAAACTGGCTCATAACATAAGAGTAATTCGTTTAGGAATTGGACTTTGCTGAGACATTAAAAACAAGTGACTCAGACTCATTTGTTCAGGAATCATTTAGGGAACTGTTTTTTGATTCACTGAGAAGAACTGAGTCGTTTGTTTAGGAATCACACTACAGTAAAATTACAATTATACATACAGTTGCAATAATGTCAAACTATAGGCTAAGAGCCATTCTTAACAGGCAGTATGTTGAATATAGTCAGTGGATTCGCAGTGGCACTATTTCCCTGTTAAATGTCTTATCAGGAGAACCTACGGAGAGCAGGTTGTAAGCTGTCACTCAAAATGACTAATGTCTGTGTATGCAGAAAGAAACTGAGGGAAGATAGCAGTGATCATTTGCTCATTTCAGCGGATGTCAAGAGAACAGCCAGCTGGAGGAGATCTTTAGATGTAGGGCACACAGCATCTGGTTGATTGACAGCAGTCAATTGCTCTGTTTCGATTGTTTCAACTTGACATGGTTCTATGGGAGAAGCAACCCACTATAAAGACTGCTGTCATGTGTGATTAAACCCTTTCCCTTGGGTGTGTGTGTCTGCAGGACAGTGTCCACGCTCCACGCCCTGTTGGTCGGCCTTTTCTGCCTCTACATCCTGTTCTTCGATGAGGGCGTCAATCGGGACCCCGTATGGTGAGCGCCCTGCCCTCGAGACCGACCCGCCACACTGCATGCTGGGAAAGCACTGCTCTTTACAGACTAGCAGGACGCTTTCAGTAACTGTTGTAACATGGTCTTGCAGTAATCTCAGTGCCTTGTTCTCATCTTTACCACAACAGGGGAGATCCTACTCTGGTGAAGATAAACGTGAGCATTACTACAGGCTACCTCATATCTGGTGAGAGCTTACGGCAGATGTCTGACTTTGGAGGTGGAGGGTTTTTGTTTGAGAGCTGCATCGTGCATAGAAATATTTTTGATTGTAATAAGAGTTTGATTTGAAAATTCATGTGATTTCATCTTGATATTGCATTTTTGGGAGTTTCTGATAGATATATTTAAAGATATATGTGATATACACATTTAAGTTGTTGGTCAGTCCAGTTTCACAAAAGAAATGTCACTTCAGGAACATTTCACCATCTATGTGGCCTTTTTAACCTGGTTTTAGATGATTAATGTTAACAAACAAGACATTATTAAAAAAAAGTGTTACCAATGTTTTTTAATTTCAAATGATACTTTTATTATAATGTATTTTGCTTTTAGTCTCAGTTTTTCTATTTTTATTTATTTTATTTCAATTTTTATTTATTTTATTTCAATTTATGAAAATGCTTATACTCTTATGATTGTAATGCTGGGTAAGGGGCATGTAAATTGATATCGTAATGTAATATTTGTATTAAAAATTCTCTAAAAAAAATAATCAACCAAATAACCGCTTCACAGCCATCAAAGTCATCCGATGTTGGCAGAGACTTTACAGGGATATTTCACACACAAATTTTAATTCTTTCATTAATTACCCTCATGTCGTTCCAAACGCAACTACCACTTTGACGCTTTAAAAAGTTCATAAAGAGATTGTGAAACTAATCCACATAAATTGAGCGGTTTAGTCAAAATTTTCTGAACAGACTCGATGGCTTTATATGATGAACCGATTTAATTTAGGCTTTTATTCTATTCAGTGTCAAAGTGGTAGTTGTGTAGCTGTCAATGGAGGGACAGAAAGCTCTCAGATTTCATCAAAAAAATCTTCATTTGTGTTCCGAAGATGAATGAAAGTCTTACAGGTTTGGAACGACATGAGGGTGAGTAATTAATAACAGAATTGTCATTTTTGGGTGAAATATCCCATTAAGGAATACTCTGAAACAAGGTTAAAATTTTTGGTGCTTCAAAAGTCCCTAGATAAATGTCCATGTGAGATGAGGCCATATTATTAAACAATAATATGGCCTCATCTCACATGGAAACCAAAAAAGTAGCTCTTTGAATGTATTAAGTCACTTTTGTGGCAGTGTTTTGTGTACATGCTAAATTAAAACTGGCGAAATTCATATTCCTGAAAGTAGTTCTGACTCTTCTCGCCTTTTTGTTCTGTGTGTTTTTCAGATCTGCTGCTTATATTTTACTATTGGAGAGCAATAGGAGACAAGTTTTTTGTAATCCACCACCTGGCGGCATTGTATGCTTACTACTTTGTACTGGTGAGTTCCCTGTTATCCCATAACAGAACATGCAGGCAAGATGGGAAAGAGACAACCAAGAGTGAGCAGTGGTAGTGTCAGGTGTGCAGCTGGTGCTGAAAGATCTGTGTTCCCTATAAACAGAGGAACATAATGAACAGAATTCAGCTGGAAGTCATTTTCTTCAGAAGGATTTATCCCATTTGTGTCATTCCATTCACTATACACGTGTCACCTGTTTAAAATGTATTGCACACGTTGAGCATTCAGAGCACTCCTCCAACATTGTTAAAGGGTTAGTTCACCCAAAAATGAAAATTCTGTCAGTAATTACTCGCCCTCATGTTGTTCCAACCCCGTAAGACTTTCGTTCATCTTCAGAACACAAATTAAGATATTTTTGATGAAATCTGAGAGCTGTCTCACTCCTCCATTGGCTGCTAGGTAATTGCATCTGCCGGCCCAGAAAAGTCCAAGTGACTACAGTGGCTCAACCTTAAGTTTATCAAGTGACGAGAATACTTTTTGTGCGCAAAACCCCCCCAAAAATAACGACTTTATTCAACTATTAATTTTCTTCCGTGTGGGCCTCTGAGTGAGTTCACGAGAGCGCCACGACGCATGCGCGAGAACTGAGAAGGTGATGCATTAGTTGAAATGACTGACAGAATTTTTCATTTTTGGGTGAACTAACCCTTTAAGGTGAATGTTAGCTGCTGGCTTACTGGAATACTTCTGATTGGTCATTTCTGTGGCACCACAGGCAAATTGCAGCAAATATATTTGTATAATGACAGGAGCAGGCCACCAGGAGCTAGTTTCATGTCTGTCATTACAATCTGTGGTCTGTCTTTTTCCCCACATAATTTAAACTCCAATCTTTATGCATTTATTGATGCATTTATTTATCTATGCATGCAAGTAGCAGTGTAATAAGCAGGATAATGAACTGTCTGGCAGCATAAACCACAACAGGGGAATCTTGTATCAACGGTATAGGGTTTATTTAGCAATTAGCGATAATAACAGACTGACTGTACATTATATTTCTTAAATGTGCAGGAATTATTGTACAAATAACCGCACACTGTCATTCTGGTTTAGTGATCTTCTTTGGATATTTCAAACAAAATATGACCCCATATTGGGCCTTTGACCTTCTCTGAAGAAATAAGGGCCTTGTTTCTTCTTACTAATGTATGCAAAGTTCTCATTTGTAAAAAAAAAAAAAATTTATATACAATTAGGGATGAGCAATCCAACTAACTAGTTGATTCTGTGAGGTTTTTTTTGTATCATTTATTAGTTTGCACAGTACAGCTGTCTTGGAAAAGTTGCATTTGATAATTTTTTTAAAGCGCCTCCGTTACATACAACACATTCAGGCTGATGTCTTTAACATTTTTGTTAAAGAGTTAGTTTTTTTGCATTTTAAGTTATCCAGTCTAGTTTCGAGCACAATAACACATCTTATGTAAGCAGTTTCTAAGAAACTTGTATTGTTTTGCTCATCCCTATTTACTATATCCTTAGTTTATTGTTAAAATGGTCTCCAAATGTTTGCATTTACCAGCCCAGATCTTTAACCACTAGACTACACCACCCACTGAGGCCACTGCTGTTCACTCTTGGTTCAGTTGTACGGTTACCCTCTAGGTCACCAAGTTCTGTAGCTGATGATGATGATGGTATTTTTTGCATGGAATGCTCATTGACGGTTATGCAGAAGTCCATTCTCTCCTCTTCAACTCCTCTTCTACCTCACTGACCCACTCTCAGCAACTCTAAACGGTCAGTTGTGGCCCGGGTCTCGGTCTCGGGCCAGACTGCACCGGATTGTGTGCATGTGTTGATGCTCGCTGCTCCTGTGGTGCCGTTGGAGGGTTTCCCGTGTGCATGCTCTGATACCTTCCCCTGCTTTGAGCCGATCTTCCTCCTAAAAACTCTCTCTTCTGAAACCTAACATCCACATCTCAACTGCAGGATGAGTAACAGCGAGAAAGCACTTGTTTGTTGGCGCTGTGTTGAGATTCTCTATAATCCACACTAAGGTTTTGCAGAATAACAGGTTGATCTGGTCCTCAACTGAATTCTAAATAACTACGCATTTAGAGACACAAGTTGTTGCACAACTGGGAAACTTGTTGCACAAGTTGTTCGTTGTGCTTTTTGATAGAAATTTGAAAGAAAACAAACAACACCTAAAACAGCATCAGTCGATGCTCAGTTGTTTGGCATAGGTGATTCTGTGAAATGGGTGCCTTTGGTAATATTTTTAACAGTATATCAGACAAAAAATGTCTTGAAATGTTAATAAATTGTATTGTGCCATTTCAAGCTAAATTGATAAATATATTAATGTTTGTAATTCCAGCAAGGTAACAGGGTTGATGCAATGTGACTAGATTGTTCCCTTTAAAATGAATGAAGATTTCCAACTTCACTCACTATGCTTTTAATTGACATGATCTTGTTTTGTCATATTGCATCAGCCCCATTACATGTGTCGCAAAGCACAGCTCACTTTCAGGATAGATCATTATTTTTAAGATATTACTAGCTTTCATTCAAAGCCATGACGCTACAATATTACGCTGGAATTAGAAAGGTAATTTATATTAAAAAATCTATATATTCTGCTGATGTTAGGACAAAAATCTTTTTAATAAACAGTATATACATATAGTTGGCATAAGCCTTTATTTGTTCAAGTCATTATATATAATTCTTAGTGACCTGACATAACTAACATATATTTTTCTGTGTCATGCTTGCACGTTGTGTGCACTAACGCATGAATTGTTAAAAAAAATTGTTATATACTGTAGCGTATTATTACTTACGATCAGCTGTAATTCCACTATCTGCCTTGATGATGATGATGATGATAATAACAATAATTAAAAATTTCACTGATATATTACTAAACAACAGGGACTCAAAAGGCACACGTTATGTAGAATGACCATGACAAATGATTTCTGGTGGCTTAATTTGTTGTCTTAGTGTGTACATTTCTAAAAATCAGCTGCACAAAAAGAAAAAGAAAATCTGATTCCTAAATATGCATCTGGGACAGCGACTGATGATATTCATGGCTTTGTTGCTTGTATACCTTAGTTACCTTGATTTAATGCAGCTGAGGATCGCCTCAACCTGAACATGCATTTTGTTGTCAGGATGTAGACCATACTGTCACTGGTCACTTTTATGACTGCCTTTTCAAGCCTTTTTCTAAATTATTACATGATAATAGATGTACTTTAACACGGATCTGGAAGTCTCTGTTGGGTCTCACTGAGTAGTCAAGTCTGTCGTTCGAAATGTCATTCGTTGTTATTGTTTCCTGTGTTTAGAATTGCTATTAGTGTTCAAAGCAGAACGTTTTAGTGTCTTTTTGTTATTACGCACTTCCCAGGCAAAATGATAATATTCGCCGCCTTTTTAGAACATTAAAGCATAATAAACCCCCTCAATCTTTTCAGCGTTTAATAATTGTGCTTCATATTAAGAACAAAGCGTTCCGCTATATTTAGTGCTGGCACATAACCTTAACAGTCTATCAAACGTTATTATTTTGAAGTAGTGTAAGATTGAATTAATTTGTCAGTGTGTCGTGCGATTTGTTCCTCATAGTGCATGTCCAACGAGTCTTAAATGTTGTTGCTGCTTTTGTCGTTCGTTCTTTTTGCATTTTTTCTGCACCTTTTTTTCCAAGAATCTGTCTGTCAGTCTGTCTCTGTCCCACCTAACATGACTTCTTGAATAACGCAGCCTCACTTCCTTTGACCAGCAAAACCCTTCATGCAAAAACTACCAGTGTCACTTTTAGTCGGGTTAGGAGATGAGGGCTATAGGCTTGGCTGATCTAGATGGACTCTCTCCTGTCTTGTCTGCTGTTCTGCTGTTATGGAACTCTGAGCAGTTACTGAAGCCCAGTTACAGTATGGACTTACCAGTACCTAGGGGTACCAGCATGCATCTGCTAGCCAACCTGATTATTATTTTATTATTTTATTGATAATATGTGGTCCATTTTGCAGTAAGTATGCTAATGTGTTTTTTAATTGCAGTCCTCAAGGTAAGCGTGTTACCGAGATGCAAAAATGTTTAGGAATGATGATGTTATTTTAATGTTTCATTGGCACAGACTCAAGGAAAGGCTTCATTCTCTGACAAAACATGCATGGCTGACCATTGCTGCACTGATACAGTGGGATCTAAAAGTCTGAGACCACATTGAAAACCTGGGATTTTGTTAGTTAAATTAAAATTCTGTCATTTACTCACTCTCATGTTCTTCCATAACTGTATTCATTGTATCCATTGTGCTGAACACAAAAGAAGTTTCTGGTCCCGTTAGTATTTTATTTTTCATACTATGGAAGGCAATGGGGTCCATCAACTGTTTGGCTACCTGCATTCTTCCTATTCTCCTATGTTCAACTGAAGAAAGAACTTCATACAGGTTTAGAACAACTTGAGGGTGAGTAAATAAATGACCAAATTTAAATTTTTTGGTGATCTATCCCTTTAAGGGATACGTTTACATGACAACGATGTACTAAAAACGGAAAGGTTTTTCTTTGCTTTTTTCGTGTACAGTTGACAACGTTGTCAAAATGATCCCCGTTCACTAGGGTTGGGTATCGTTTGGGTTTTATCCGATTCCAGTACCTACTCGGTATTTTTTAAACGGTTCCGGTGCTTAAACGGTTCTTAAATCGGTACTTAAGAAAATGAAACCGCACACACTTTATCAAAAAATAATACCCTTTAATTTACAGGGCCAAACTGGACACAATATTAACCTAAATCTTTAAACAATATAAATACAAGTAACATATGGTAATAATAAAACCAATATAAAATAAAAATTCATATTTACATAATATCAAATGAAACAATATTGTATCAAACAATGTAATAATACTGGAGATTAATAGAGATTACTAGCAGGCAGAGCTGCCAACTCTCACGCATTGACCGTGAGACTCACGCAAATGACCCTTTTCACACAGAAAAATCGCGGACAAAGAGGACACTGACAGACAAGACAGAGAAGGTTACTTTTGATATGGAACAAATCCACAGCTGTCAGATTCTGTCAATATTTTTACGAGATTCACACAATAAATAACGTTTTGGCTCTTTGAAATGTGACAGATCGCTGTAGCGCGTCAGTTCAAACGGTACGTGATACAGCAGCCTACAAATACAAATCCACTGCTTCTTAGCTACGCAGCGTTGAGTGAACCTATGAAAGAGAACATCTCTGGTTGGTGTAACATATCTCTCAATAGGGAACGGGACGCAGCCAAGCTCCTCGCGCTGCCGACCAGCTTCCTTTTTCGGCAGAGAAATCTGAGGAGCAGATGGCGCGCGCGCGACAGCATAGTATGACGACGTAAGTGCGTCGATGCGGCGCCATCAGCCAATGAATTGGCTTGATTCTATATGGGATTCAGACTATCGGCACACCCAGAGGGCGTTCTGACACGTAATTTTACACGTGAAATGCAGCCAAACCTTGCGAGAAAGAGCGCGCATGCGAGACAGAAGAAACTGTGCTCCAAACTGTGTAGCACACGCACGGCGGAGAGAGAGAGAGCGAGAGACCTTGTGTGTGTGTGTGTGCGCGTGTGTGCCTAATGAAGTTAGGCACCGAAATCAGGCACCGAAATTTTCTTTCTTATTCGGTCTGGTTACTACCGTTTACGTCGGAACCGGTTCCCTATTGGCACCGAGTTTCGGTACCCAACCCTACCGTTCACACGGATCCACGAAAATAAATAAAAACACTACTATGCATGCCGGTATTTTGATGATACCACTTTTGTAAAGAAACGCTATGTGCCTAGTCTGAACACATGAGTAGAGTCCATGCACATGACGTCATATTATGTACATTTTTTAAGTAAATTCAATTGAAAAATTTCTTATTTTATATATTTATATATGTAATAGGGCTGTCAAATGATTAATCGTGATTGATCACATCCAAAATAAGTTTTTTTTACATAATATATGTGGGTGCACTGTGTATAATTATTTTATATATATAAATACACACACATGCTTGTATATATTTAAGAAATATTTTCATGTATATACTGTATATAGATTTATATATAATTTATATTATATATAAATATTTTATATATAAATGATATTTTTTACTTAAATATACATGCATGTGTGTGTATTTATATATATATATATATATATATATATATATATATATATATATATATATATACAAAATAATTATACACAGTGCACCCACATATATTATGTAAAAAAAACTTTTATTTTGGATGTGATTAATCATTTGACAGCCCTAATATGTATATGTGTGTGTGTGTGTAATACTGTTTATTAATATCAGTAATATTATCCGACATAATTTATAGTGAATAAATCAAAATAGAATTTTCACTAGTGGTCTCAGATATTTGGACTCAGACTGTATGTGCCTGACAATATGTGGCTTATTTGAAATGATGACTGTTATTATTGACAACAAGGTTTTGGTTATTGATTTCATAATTAACTTTTCATTTGTTAGATCTGTTTCTGTTAACCTTTTACAGTAATTACTACAGGGACAAATATCAGTGATATCAACAAAAAACTTGTTCGGCTCAGTTTGACCGCGCTGTTAAAGTCAGATTATTTATTTATGGAAAATAGACATTCGTTAATGATGTGTGACTTTAACAAATCATAAATTTGATATATTAGGATAATCACTTATCATGAATCTATTATTTTTACTCACAATGCAAGTAATTTATCACCTTTACATATTCACTAAAAATAACACGCTAAATATAGGCAGTAAATACTAAAAGGCATTATTTGATCTAAAAAATACATCCTGTATTAATAGAATAGCAGTGTCCATGCAACCTCCTTTCTGTGTTCTACTTTTCTTTTTTTCTTATGTCTGTCAGAGTGAAGTATCATAACTCAGCACCCAAGCAATTACTGTGGTACTTGACAGCAGGAGAGATTGGGACTGTTCATGGAGCTGATTCATGAGCCTGTGCCTTTCTATATAACTTGTGTCTGTGTCATTGTTTGTTTGTTCTTTGCCTTGTGTTTCCAGGGTCAAGGAATGTTGCCTTATTTTGCTAACTTCCGTCTGCTTGCTGAGTTTTCCACACCGTGTGTAAACCAACGGTAGGTATTTGGCTGATTTAGAGTTCAAAATATTTTTAGTGTAAACTTTTTAGTGTTGCCCACCATGTCTTAAAGCCATTAAAGACAACACAACATCTAAATTAACACTCTTTACCCTTTCAGTAAATGTTCCTGAATAAAGGTCGACTAGCCTAGTATTAGTCAGGGCCAGGGGAGAAATACTAAACCATAATAATGAGCATTTAAAATATAAATGAAGTGCTCGAAACAAGCACACGCATGCATAAAGCTTGCAAACATTGTGTTAACTTTTCTGAGATCAGAACGTAAACAAAATAAATAGCTTATAATATAAATAACCGCCTAACGGAATTTAAGGACACAAAATTTAAGTGTGAAATTTAAGGAAAATATTTCAGTGTGAAATTAACAATGAAAATCCATATGCATTTGTAGGAGTTTCTCAAGGATTGGTTATAATTGTTATATTGGAATTACTTCTTAGTAATGGACGCCCCTTTTTTGTGCCCCTATCCCTGAGAAACACTGCACGGCCCTGTATACATTGGATTGATTTTAAGAACTTTAATCTACTTTAGGGATCCAGACTGCACCGGCAAGACTTTTTTTCTTGGTTTGTAAAACCTTTTGAGAGTGAAATTCAAGCCTTGAAGTGCTTCACGCTAGCCTGGTTAAAACCAGACCATTCTCAATCTACTTTTGCCGGAAGTTGTCTGGGTTTTCCCAGGCTAGCTCCACGCTTTTCCAACACTCTAAATATTATCCAGTTTTAATGGTTTTTTTTTTAATGTGATGACCAAAAACATTATTTGTTCATCTATCAAAGATTGTCCCCATTTGCAAAACTAAAAGTTTCAAGATGTTGGGAAACCAAAACTTGGCAATAAACGCTTTTTATTTAAAAATAATTAAGACATGAAATTACCTCTATAACCTGTAGATGGCGGCAGAGGAGCACTTATTGGCTTATTAGCAATAGATATTATGAAATCCCTATTATAAAGAAATCAAGAAATAATTTTGTGTGTATGAAATGGGACAAGTCACAAAGTCTCACGAAAAAACAAAACCTTCAAATTGCAAAGAATTACACAGAAAGCAAGCAAAGAGCGCTCCTTTTATAATCACTGTAGCTTGTTGATCAGTTCAGTATGATACTATAGATGGAACAATGCTATATAGAAGAACACTTTAATAAGTGCTTTAATAAGCTTTACTGTCAAATGTTTTCCGAGAAACAAACATGCAATATTATATGTAACTGCACTTACTATGCAAAACAATAGCAATTTTATGATTAAAGATTCTACTTGAAGTGTGCACCAAGCAGTAGTAAAATACAAGTATCGGATCGGCACCCGGTATCGGTATATTCACTGACTCGGATCAGCGGGCACAAAAAACTTGTTTGAGACATGATGACATCCCTAATTAAATGTATCAAATGCCATTTCATGCTGTCACTAATAAGAAATGACAGAAATGTTGTGTTAGTAAATTACTTTACCGCATGTCACTCTGCTCACCTGTGTTTTCCAGCTGGTTCTTTGAAGTGTTAGGTTACCCCAAAGTGTCCAAGCCCAACATGGCTAACGGGGTCCTGATGGCGGCTGTGTTTTTCCTGGTGCGGATCGCTGTCATGCCGGTATACTACAGCCGAATGTTCTCCGTGTACGGCACGGAGGCCTTCTACAGGGTCACCCTCGGTGGCCGTAGCGCCTGGATCTTCTCCAGCATCTGCCTGGACATCATGAACGTCATGTGGATGCATAAGATCGCCCGAGGCTGCTACAAAGTCCTGCGATCCAGCCAGAGGCTCAAACCCGAGATCCAGGAGAATGGAAAAAACGATTGAGCAAACGGGCCTGAAGGACATTCGAATTTTGTTCACAAACAGGGTCGTTGTCATATTGACGGTCTTCAAGGGAGCGGACACTATTGCATGATAGTGACCGGTCGGGAATGAAAACCACCCCAGAGCAATATTTCACAGAGTTATGACCTGAAAACTCTGACAAAGTGTCAAATAGAGATTCTAGTACACCAGAAAAGACTGGCCGCCCACTTTTAGTTTGTGTTTGTTTTCAAAACTGTACACCAGATGTGCAAACGATGCACTGTACAAGACCACCGGCTGAACTGTATTTTTCTGTACGTTTCTAATTTCAAACTCTGGGCAGGTAAACCACATTATTTATTCATCAAAGTTCAGTCCGTCTCCCTCAATCACTGTACTGTGCAGAGGGGCCAAGCGGTCATGAGTCACCTGATGTTCACGTTTACTTCAAAGCCGCGTATATTGACTGTGAACGTTTCAGCCACACAACTGCACTGCACTAAACGAGGAAAAGCAGCGACCGGGAACGGTGTACTCGAGACGAATCTCTTGGAAAATCCACCGTCATGCTGTACTTGCGACGTATTCGACGTATTTTGTCTGAGGAAATGATGGCCTGTTGAGATCTTCTGTCGATGTGGTCAAATATGGGTTTAAATAGCCAAAATATTTTATATGTATACCAGATACGAGCAGTGAACTCTTCTCATTGCGATTACATTAATGCGAAACTGTTTTAAGAATGAAATCGGTTTACACTCGCTCCAGATTCCGTTCGGATTCCGTTGTGTTTCCACGAAACAGACGTCAAGATTTGTTCGCACTGTACAGTTAATTGCATGCGGCAATATTGTTCTCTGAATGTTTGCATTGTACATAGAAATTTTATTGAACATATAATAATAATTTTAATTACGTTTGTGTACAGTATATTCGATTAATACTGACCTTAAATTATCGATTTTGATTTGGAAATGGGTTTTAAAAGGAAATTCAGAAGAGCTTTGGGTTGTAGCTCGTGAATGTTCGAGCCGAAGAGTTCTCGACGCCGGTGTCGATTAGTTTTCCTGCATCGTACCTAATTTATTGAACCAGTTTTACACTGGGAAGGCATGGTAATGTTTGTACGACATATTTATTATTTTTTAACAGAAAGATATAACAATCAATGTATCTGAGTATAGATATACAGCATATGAGAGATTTCACAATACAGAGATACTTATATGAATTCATTTTCAAATTCATAGTCACTATGTAAGACAAATATAGTGTAGAATATTCATGCTGTACACACATGCATTCAGTGGCGGCACAGATGTGAGTGCATGAGTAGTTTTATTGAATTATGAAAGACAGCTAGAGATGGCTTACATCAATTTGCGTGGAAACAATTCTGTTTTTATTGAACTTGGTACTTGAATATTGAAATGCGTTATTTTGAGAGACAGACCTATGAAGAATTGTCTTTTATTGGCACGAGTTATACAGGAATCCATGTTGTGATTTTTGCCTTTGCATTCAATCACTTAAAATGCCTTTTTGTTTTCTTCAATAAACATCTTTTATTTACTACTTCTAGTGTCATTTTATACCACATGGTTCATTGTATAGTCATGTAAAGGATGAATGATTATCACTTTGATTGTTTTATCTTTTTAGTTCTCACAAATGTTGCAACCAAAGGTCAGAAGTATGAATGGCTGTTTGAAGTCTGTTCTTAATTTTGCATATTAAGTAGCCTATAAGTGGTCACACACCAACAGTTTCAGTATGTCTTCGGTCTACAGACGTGCATTATAACACTGTTCAAGTATAACATGAAGCAAGCAAAGGAAAACAAGGGAAGGCCGTTTATTCATTGTAATGATCTGTTGCTGGTCATTTCCAAGACAGGATTGATCTATGGACCGCAATATGTCATTCAAGAGTTTGTTTGTTTGTTTGTTTGTTTGTTGTTTTACCAAGACAATATTGAATTGTACTTTTCCAGTTCTGATGATTTTTTGGGAAATCCTTTCAACGCATAAAGGTCCAAACCCTCAGTATTCAGCATTTATTTTTAGTTTATGAAATGTGGAGATGCACAATAATGACTGTATGTGTTTTTATTGCTGATACGTTCCATATACTGTCGCAGGACATTGTTGCCATATAAATGTTTACATATGTTCGTACAGTGGCCACGGGGATCATGCTCCCACATACTGAACGAAAGTGCATGTACATGAGAAATGACAAGTTATTTTTGAACATGTTTATTCTTTCACCTTAATTTGTCTCACTATGCCATTTGCCTAAATAAAGCAATATGCTCATTTTGATCCATAATCATTTTGTATGTCCCTTCTTCTTCAGTTCGGTTTGTAGGCATATGCCTTTGCTATTTATCATTTAATTAATGTATTATTTTTACAACAAAATCATAGTTTTAGTGCACTAGAAAGCACACAGAACGGAGATTGCTTTTAAAGAATTCACATATTTCTTATTAATGTAAGTACTTAAAAAAAAAAAAAAAGAATAAATAAAATGTTTTCTTCTTTGAAAAGTGTATCATGGACATTGACTAATTAATATTCATGAGATACGCCTTCGTCCCGCCCGCGCGCATTGCATGCTGGGTGAAACGGAAGTAGTGGTTCACGTTGACATTGCAGAGCGTCCGATGATCCGATCTTCACATAAGAGCCACAGAAAGGTGAGTTATGCTCTCAAATCTGTAGACCTTCAGGAATCGAGATTGTTATGTGAAGATATTTAAAAAGCTGGTTGTTATAATGGAGTTTGTAGTGGAATATGTGATTTTGTATTCAGTAACATTGTTTTACATGACTGTATGGATGATGTTATATAACTTATTTTGTAACTATTACATTTTAGGATTTGTCTCTTAAAGATCACTTTTAAGAATAGTGAAAGGTGTAATAGTTCACCCGGAACAACATTGTAATATTGTTCTGAATGTGTATGACAGAATATTTACTACGTTATTTTACAAACTATGAAATTGAGTAGTGACCAGCTCCAAAATTGACCATAAAAAGCACTATAATGGTTCATACCATTTGTGCCATATATTCCAAGTCATCTGAAACATTATGATAGCTTTGCATGAGGGATAGATATTTTGCCTATATTTAGATATGACACTTCAATCTCTCACGTGAGGTTATGACACAAATAATTCCAAATGTCACTTCTTTTCATAACTAAAAACAACACACCAAATTTGATGCACATATTAAAACCCCACAAATTAGACTTTTTATGGAAACTGTATGACATTCTTTTCTCAGAAGAAAGTCTACAGCTATGGAACAACATGAGTATGAATAAACAATTAATTTAATTTGTGTGTGTGTGTTTGTGTTTGTGAACTATTCCATTAAAGGTATAGTTCACCTAAAAATAAAATAAATTCTGTCATCATTTACTCACCCTCAAGTTGTTCCAAGCTTGTATGAACTTCTTTCTTCAGCTGAACACAAAATAAGATATTTTGAAGAATGTGGGTAACCAAACAGTTGATGGACCCCATTGACTTCCATAGTGTTAAAAAAAATACTATGAAAGTCAATGTGAACTGTCCCTTTAACATCATTCAGCAATAGGCTATATTTTTAAACATTTAAAGTCATGTGATATAGATTTTGAACATCATAACACAAGTAATGATGCAACAGGGTGTCCTTGATCTCTTCAGCACTGGTGTTTGTCATGGGTGCATCCGTATCCAGTCTTGCCCCCAATATCCGGGCAGAGTCTGCAATGTCAGCGACTCATTTTGGTGGGGCGACCCCACCCCCTGGGTGTCCCATGCATCAAGAGATCCCTAAAAGTGAGTCATACTCCATCTGTAATCATGAGCTCTATATCAGAGGACTGTATGTAATAATTTGTAATGTGCAATATAAACCCAGGCTCTCCTCCTCCTGAGTGCCCGATGCATCAGGCTCAGACGACTCCGGCCAGCCCAGCACACCAGGAGAGAGCGTACGAGTTTGTCGAATGTCCCATGAGAGCTTCGGAAGGAGCCGTCGATCCCACAAATATGGTGAGCTGAATAACCTGAATCAGATGATGCTCTTTTTGATTTTTGTTTTTGGCTTATGCGTGTTAATGTTGCTTTTCTGTGTACCACAGATGCCCCCTCCAAACCAGGTGCCCGCCCCGGACCAGCCATTCCCTTTGTCCATCAAAAGAGAGGAGTCTAAAATCCCTCGATCAGGCGCAGAACAGAACTGGGTCTATCCTTCTGAACAGATGTTCTGGAATGCCATGCTGCGGAAGGGGTGAGTTTCGGCGTGCTGTACTATGTACAGAAGTATACGCTTGCATAAAGATTCCTAAATCCATGTTTTACAACCAGATACACTGTGTTCATGATTTGAAGAGCTGATATGTAATTTGGCTTAGTTTCAGGAAGTCTGTGAGTGCTGTAACTTGATTACCCAGATAGAAAAAATAGTACATTATTCTCCAATGTCAAGAAAGAGACAACAACAATGGTTTTGCATGAGCTAGGGCGTACGCACTACCATTCAAATGTTTGGGGTCAGTAAGATTTATTTTAATGTTATAATGTTCGAAGTCTCTTATGCTTATATAAGATTATAACACAATGCTGCATTTATTTGATTAAATACACAGTAAAAACTGTAATAATGTGAAATATTATTACAATTTAAAATAACTGTTTATTTTATTTTATTATATTTTAAAATATTCATTTAATTATTTTAAAATGAGTAATTTATTGTGATTGGAAAGCTGCCTTTAGTCCAGTATTCAGTGTCATCACATAATCGTTCAGAAATCATTCTAATAATCACTTTTGATCAATTTAATACATCCTTGCTGAATAAAAGTATTAATATCTTTTGAACTATATCAATATATAATGTATAAAAAATGTGTATATATATATATATATATATAAATATATATATATATATATAATTTAATTATTATTCATAAATTATTAAATAAAAACATACTTTTTTATTTACTAAAAAGTTTTTAAATAATATATATATATATATATATATATATATATATATATATAATATATATATATATATATATATATATATAATGTGTGTGTGTGTGTGTGTGTGTAAAATATGTTAATATATATATATATATATATATATATATATATATATATATTTATATATTTTTTTGTTGTTGTCATGAATTACTGTTAATTGCTATTTGTTGTTTTGCTAGGTGGCGCTGGAAGGATGACAGTCTTGAACCCAAAGACATGTCCGATATAATCAAGATCCACAATCGTAACAACGATCAAGCCTGGCAGGAAATCTTGAAGTGGGAAGCCCTTCATGCCAGGTGACTGCAACACAACTCTCATTTTCACATGATCAGTGACTGAAATCACTTTACCGTATGATTCGGAGAGCAATGCTGTATTACAGTGTCTTCCAATGCAGTGTTTTTTTTAATTAAAAGAAGTTAATACATTTATTCATCAAGGATGCATTCAACTGATCAATAGTGACACTAAAGACATTTATAATTTTACAAAAGATTTCAATTTCAAATGAATGCTGTTCTTTTGAACTTAATATTCATCAAAGAATCTTGAAAAAATATATCACGGGAATAAATTATATTTCAAAATATTAAAATAGAAACCTACGGAAGCTTGTTTGCGGCACGGAATAGAAAATAAAAAAGGTAATTACGACTTTTTAATCACACAATTCAGACTTTCTAACTCACAATTCCAAGTGTGAATCTCACAATTCTGAGAAAAAATATTTGTGAGATTATAAACTCGCAATTGATAGGGACATTTTTTTTGCTTTTATATCTCACAATTCTGACTTTTTTTCCTCGCAAATTAAAGTTTACATCTCACAATTCTGAGAAAAGAAGTCATAAACTCATAATTGCGAGATATAAACTCGAAATGACAAAAGGTAACTGACTTTTTAGATTCTTTGTTTCTCATAATTGTGAGATATAAACTCTGAATTGTGAGGTAAAAAGCTGCAATTAAATGTTTTATTCCATGGCGGAAACGAGTTTCCATAGAAAAGAGATTTTAAATCATTAAAATATTTCAAAATATCAGTGTTTTTGCTGTAGTTTTGATCAAATAAATGCAGCCTTGGTGAGTATAACAGACTTCGTGCTGTTCTACAATGTGTTCCAATGCAGTTTTTATATTGTTAACACGAATAAAAGCTGCATCATCACCTCTGCAGCCCTGTTGCTGCCAGATAAACGAGGTGATAATTGTGTTAGTCGCCTTCTGTTTGTCATTTGATGGTCACTGGCAGTGTGATCTGCTTTGTTGTTACAAACTGCCAAGTATGCAAGAATGATCATAGCGCCCTAGACTACTGTTAGTTTCAAACACATGTTTGTTTCTGGCAGCGAGTGTCCATGCGGTCCATCTCTGAAGAGATTCGGGGGCAAAGCCAAAGAGTTTTCACCCAGAGCCAGAATGCGTCACTGGATGGGGTGAGATATAAAAGTGAATCCCAAAGGATCCTTCTCATGTTGTGTTTAAAACACTGCAGAGTGCTTGATTTCTCTCTGCTAACTTTCTCTGTAGATATGAATTGCCGTTCGACCGACATGATTGGATCGTAGATCGGTGCGGAAAGGAAGTCCGCTATGTCATTGACTACTACGACGGGGACATCGATAAAGACACCTACCAGTTCTCCATCCTGGACGTGCGTCCGGCCATCGATTCTATGGGGGCCGTCTGGGATCGGATGAAGGTGGCCTGGTGGCGCTGGACATCGTAGAATCCATCCTAACACAGTTATCATTTCTGCACCACTATAAGACTTTGGTACCAAAATACTAGAAACTGCATTCTACGTTCTCTGAGATTGGTTGTTTCTCAACTTCTTTGAGTTCTGACTTTAACATGAATCGTCCCAAGTTATTGCACAGCGAGAAACTTACAGGTTGTTAAAGGAGAACTCCGGCGCAAAATGAACCTTTGGTCTAATTACACATTGTTACCTAGTCAACCATTATCTGAGATTTGTTTTCATGATTATCGAATGTAAATAGTTTTATCTCTACAAACAGTTTAGCCTATAAAGCTAGTATAACGCTAGTATATTGGGCATAGTGTAATGACAAATAAAAATCGCTTGTTAATACCACTAACAAGGCTCAAAATAGCCCCACACTAACACGGTAGCATAATGAGGGTCCCTACCTTCAAACCGAGGCATTGAGAACTTTGTCAGTGTCTACAGTTTAATAAGAAGATATTTTAAACATACAGTCAACTTCGCGTATACAGGCAGAATCCATCTTTGAAATACAGCCTTTACCAGTCGATCTACGAACGCCGATCCAAGCCTGCTGTTCGCGCTCACCTTATCACAACTTATAGCTCGTTCACATCTCACCAGCGCACTTGGATCGGCGTTCGTAGATCGACTGGTAAAGGCTGTATTTCAAAGATGGATTCTGCCTGTATATGCGAAGTTGACTGTATGTTTAAAATATCTTCTTATTAAACTGTCTGGACACTGACAAAGTTCTCAATGCCTCGGTTTGAAGGTAGGGACCCTCATTATGCTACCGTGTTAGTGTGGGGCTATTTTGAGCCTTGTTAGTGGTATTAACAAGCGATTTTTATTTGTCATTACACTATGCCCAATATACTAGCGTTATACTAGCTTTATAGGCTAAACTGTTTTTAGAGATAAAACTATTTACATTCGATAATCATGAAAACAAATCTCAGATAACGGTTGACTAGGTAACAATGTGTAATTAGACCAAAGGTTCATTTTGCGCCGGAGTTCTCCTTTAATATCCTCTGTTGGAGAGCAACATAAATCAGTGTTTTTTTTTTCTGCTGTTGAAGTTTCTGAATTCATTGCTGGCAATCATCTCTTTTTCTACTTTTTGAGTGATGGTTATTAAATTGAAAGCTCGCTATCTGATCTTACCCAGAGGTTAAACTCATCTGCTGGTTGTTTTTCTCTTTCAAAGGCTAGTTATTGAGTGTTTTAGTTCATATGCAGAGTGATTGGCAGCTGTTAGCGTTTGTAGCTTGGTGAAACTGTTTGCTCATGAATGTAATTGATCTGATGAATCATATAAAATTGTTTCAACTCTTCATATTCATCCTGTGGTCAGGTTCAGTTTTAAAATTATGTAATTTCTCATACCTGATGTTATTTATTTTGCTCAAACTGCTTTTTTGTCTGTGTGTATGCTAATGTGTTGCTGACTGCTCTTTGAGTGAGTGTTCCTGAAAAAAGAAAATCTCTAAATACAATTTGTAACCCATTTCTATTGTTTTAAATCTGACCTTTACCAAATTAAAATTCCAATTAAACACGCCTGTCTGCTCCTCACTTCTGCCACTTTCCAGATCACACCGGCAGGTGGTGCACTTTCCTCAGACAATTTCAGTTCTTTCATTATTGTTCATCGGTGATAATGATTAAAGCCGACCATTTCCAAAGTCACCTATGATTTAAAGGAGTTAAGGATGATATTGAACTAACCATTTAAACTTGTTTTAAGCTTCCTTTTAAATAGTCATGAACCATTGGTTTGTTTGTGGAGTTAACTGAAATTTAGGTCAGTCAGCTAACGTTAAGCACTTAATGCTGCCTTCACGTATCGGAAATGTCCTGCTTCTCAAATCGCGATTAGCAGCTACATCTCATTCAAGTGCTTTGTTGTCAGAAAGAACAGGAACCATGGAGGACAGGTTTATTCAATACGCCATTTTAATTCATTATTTTGATATCAAGTATCACATTGCATTTTTGCAAACATGACAGGCATGTTTATACAATCTACTTAAATGTCCTAATTGAACTAAGGCCTAATCCTGTCTTAATCTTGTTTGTAAACCGAGCCAGTGTGTCAATGTAAGCCTACTGTATCTTAAAAAGCCCTTAATTTAGACCCTTTTGGCTTTCTATAGTCCAATGTGTATTGTACACTGACAGTTTACAATGAGTCATTAATTTTTAAGTTTGTTTTGGGGTTAGCATGATGCTACATTGAGCATTTCTGAGAAAAGTAGTTAGATTTGCCAATGCCTAAAACTACAGGCTTCTAATCTAGACTGGATGAAAATATATATGTGACCACATTTAGAATTATAGTAAGAAGGTCAAAGAACACACGATATTTTTTTCCCACCAGTTTTTATTGTTAGTTGTGCTTTTGCACCTGGTAGACCTCCTTGAATCCTTTGTCCATAGTAAAATACTGATGGAAACAAAAACAGCAGCTTCAGATGATGCCACTTGTTGTTTAACAGTATATTTACCCTAAAGGTGATGAAGTCAATCCTGTGAGAGCTGTTTGAAGCCCCAAAGAGGAGAAGCAGAGGCTCCTCATATCTGTGAGTAGGTGTGGGAAAGAAATCTCCACTAGCGGCCAAGAATAACCTCATCCTCTGGGGTAAGTTTCCACCTCTCCGTCCTTTACAGATGAGAATCTGATTTTGCCTAGTTTTGAGAGCAGTTTTAATTCTGACTGATCTCTCAGCAGTCCAGTGTTTTTAGACTATGATTACACTATATTTTGGGGTCCATTGAGTTCATTGTGCCGCCCTAGTCTTTTGAATAATGTATGTGTGGCGACAAAGATACTGTATGTTTGTATTTGGGGTTTTTTTTGTCAGGGGTTCTGTTTGGCAGGGAACCAGACAAGCCCCTTGTAGTGCACAGAACAGATATACAAACAGCCCGTGGCAGTCGAGTCTGGCGGGGGATTCAAACCCCCTGCAATCCTTCCAGTCTGTTTCATTTACATACCAAAAGATGCCCAGCTGTGCCAAGTACCAGGCCTTGTCTAGATTGCAGAACTGTAACATTAACAATGGGAAGGAGTAGGCTAACAGCTGGAAAGTTTCTAGCTAGCGGGTCAGTGGTGGTCCTGACCTGACATGGACGTTCAGATGTTGGCTGATGTGTTTGCTACTGTATTGATTGCAGCTTGTGGTTTGCCGATTCAGTCCCACTTACTGTATTTTAAAGGCTCAGTTATGACGAGCTTGACTAAAAGCGACCAGTTTGAAGATAAATCCATGAAGCCTAAGCTCATCGGTTAAAGCGATCAAGTCTCTTCAGAAAATTTGGACTAAACTGCTCAATTCATACGGATTAGTTTTACGATCTCTTTATGAACTTTTCTAAGGGTCAAAGTGGTAGTTGCGTAGCTGTCAATGGAGGTATAGAAAGCTCTCAGATTTCATCAAAAAGATTTTTATTTGTGTTCCGAAGATAAACGAAAGTCTTACGTGTTTGGAATGACATGAGGGTGAGTAATGACAGAATTTAAATTTTTGGGTGTACTATTGCTTTAAGGCTTGTCTGTGAAAACCAGGCATATTTGTAAGCTATTGAATCTTTAGGCCGCACTTAAAAATGTATAAATGTCGTTGAATTATATAAATCCATGTGGCATTTCTTGGAAGGAAGGATAGTGCAAGCACACTTTCATAATGCAGACATTCATGCATTTTTAAGTGGCATAAGTGTCGAAATTGGTTTTAGGGTCACTGCATATTTATACAAAATATGTATCTGCCCTATCTGGAGCAGTGAGAAAAGCTGTCGCAGTGAATCCTTGTAATGTTGTGTCTTCTCCCCAGTTTAAGTGAAATTGCTTGTTTATCAGCAACTGTTTTAAATGCAAATCCCATGCATGATTTGCATCTGGACCACTTCTCCCACACACTTTACGGTAAACACACATCAGTATAAAAACACACACACACACACACTGGAATAGGTAATTGTGCTCTTCTACATGATAATAATAAAGAAAAGAGCGTTATGCTAAAACTAAATGAATGCATGCAGAGTGTTTAAGGGCTGTCAGTCTGGGGCCTACAACAGGAAGACAAGAGTCCCACAGGAAGCTTTACTGCACTTAAGCGTTTTATTTGAAAGTAAAATGTAGTAACCATGGAGACAATTTTATGACACCCCCACTACCATTTTGTACAATCAGTGTGAGTTTATTCTGCACACATCAATCATTTTGTTTTGCAGTTATATTATACATCAGTTTTTTTTTTCAATTACAGTTCTCAGTAAAGGTTTCAGTAGTCAAAATATTGTATGAAATTAAATAAGCAACGTTTATTTCAAGAATTTCAGTCAAATTAATTGTGCATTTTCAAGTTGGCAGCCATAATACCTTTCAAAAGTAATAATATACCTTGTCAAAATAACAATAAATCCTACAGTAAATAGTCTCTCTGCTGATTTATACAGTATAAAACTAGGTATAATTTATTCAATTCTAATTTATTTAGAGCTTATTTAAATGGTTCCAAAGCAGATTAAAACGAAACGGATCAACGGCTAAAAATACTAAACTTTATAAACTGTAGTGGCCAAAAGTAATGTCTGGCATAGAAAAATGTACATCTTGTAACAAGCATATTGTGGAGTTGTTAATAGTTTTATTTGGGATATCACAAATTAATGAAACATGCCAAATTGTGCGGACATAATTTTTTGGCCAGGATGTCATACAAAGAAATTATATACACGTGCAAAAACAAGAGAACCAACAAAATATTAAAAACAAATAACCCCTCCGGACACACACACACACACACACACACAAATATATATATATGCATCTCTGCTGCTTCAGATGCTTTTTTTATCTTTGTGTGGGGAAAAATACACTGTTTATGATTGTGATTACTGACTTTTTATTCTTTATTTTTGATGTTCAGTCTTCTTGGTGGATGTCAATAGTTTTGAATTAGGCATTTACAATAAGGAGGTGCATATTGGCCAGCTTAGAGGGAAGTTTTTGGGATCCTTGACCTGTTATTTCGTCTTGTATTTGAAGCGTGTAGCAAAACAATGTTTGTGGTGCTTATAGAGGTGTGATTGTGAAGCTTTAACTCTGTGAATTATTTTTTCTCATCTGCTTTGCCCCAAATTGGGCAATTTC